CATTCCTGCACGCTCTCTATACGGAGCCAAGGAATTTCATCCTTCAGTTAGATGAGTCATACCGATATATTCTCTGCTTGCCGGACATACACGCAGCTTTAGTCCAAAATTGCCAACCTCGCATGGCCTATCCTTAATCGGGTGAAGATTCTTCCACGAGCCAGATCCTTCAAGGGCCTGTATTTCTCTACCGATCCACCGACGCTCTTTTAATGATTTTTTATTGTATGTTTAAGTTAAGGTTAAGTCCTAATTTTGGGACGTCCCAGCCGCATGATTTTTTTATTATTATAAGTAAAAGTTTATATTTGTTGACCAATCAAAAACTTAAATTGCTTGAAAACTTGACGAAGAAGCTGAGTGCTCTTCTATCTTTTAAATTTTCCTTATCCTCGGTTTTTATTTATTTATTTATTTAAACAAACTGATATGTTTACTCATGTCACTTTGTAAGATCCAAGTCCTTTGTTATGCTTTCATTAAATAGTCACAAATGTATAAAAACAAATTAGAAATTTTATTTTGCGTTTGTCTGAAAATAACGTTTATTTATCAAGAATGAGAAGGAGATTTTTTTTAACGATTGCTAACTTTTGACTAATAATTTAAACCTTTAATTTCCTTATTGAATTATTTAAAAAATGTCGTAAATTTTGCAGCAGAATACAGCATATTTATTTCTATAATTTGTAGTTCATAGGTGAATTTTTTAATAATAATTGCATTTTTTATTGTTGTTATAAAGAGTGAAGGGATTGATTTAATTTGAAAATAAATAATTGACCTTTGAAATTACAAAAAACTTGCATTAAAAAAAGCCAGAACACAAAAATCTAAATCCCAAAGTAAATCGATTAAATATTTTCCTTATATACAAATTGATAAGATTCGAGTACCAAAATATTTCCCCGAGAGAAGAAGAAGGAACAAAGTCATACATATTTAAAGAATTATCTAAGGCGAGGATTAGAGATGGTAATAATTTCTTAATCATGGCGATTATCCATTTTTTCTTGTTTCTTACGTAGATTTTTATCTCTTAACACACGGGAGCTACGGGCGATTATTATTTTTTGTGGGAAAAAAAAATTACGAATTCAATTATGAATCAGCTGCACGCGGCGCATTTCAGTTGTGATAAGATCGATAAAACAGTTCAGCGGATCAAAAAGAACATACCCGAATTATAATTGTTTAAAAAAAAAGTTATACATAGTATAAAAATAGTATTTATTTTAGAATCAAGGGCGGAATTGAATGTAAATTATTTGGTTAAAAGATTTTATTTAATCGTACACAAATTAGAAAAATAGACAATTTTGGTTAAATTCACAATGCAAACTTACACAACTTTTCAATTAAAATAAATAAATATATATATTTCCTCCCTCACCCAGCCGCTGACCACGTGGCGTTATTGTTTTCCCATTAAGAAGGCTGAAAAATATTCCATATCAGTGCGGAGATTAGATTAAGGGAAAACAATTATTTGTGCTGTATAATGAGGCAAGTAAATATTTGACACATTACACTTTTTTTTTATATCGAGAACGATCGCGGAAATTTGGCTTTTTTGCGGAACGACAGAGGCGAGAAAACTTCATGTACGATTTAAGTCCTCTTGTACTTTAATTTTATCAGAAGCAGATCGTTAATTTTTTTCCGCACAAGTATATAAATTGTTTTAATGCACGGACATTTTGCGAAATTTCACTGTGTAGTGGTTTATGTGCGATGTATTTTTTAAATCTTTCAAAACCGAGACGATCAAGCTACCATGTCTGAAACTATCAGAATAGTGCTTCGAGTTATATTATAGATGATATATTTATAATTATGAGATGTTAACTGGCAATGCTTGTGACACTGACATTGTGCCTTTTTAAAAAGATAGTTCCTACTCACATTAAGTTGTTTTGCAACGATCCGGATTTCGAGCCTTTTAGCTCATCATCAGGTTGAAGGACTTCTACAACCACGTCTCTCGACATGAATTGCCAAAGTGAACCCGTTGATACCTCCGCCAACGCGACGTTCCAATTAACAGCTGATTTTTTTAATGGCGCTCAATTTGAACGTGCGAAACGCGGAAATTATAACACAAATAAATATTATACTAGTAAATACTAAATATTATTAGATTACTATAAAAATAATAACCATTAAAATAATTAGTTTAATTATTTGGATGTTTGATATTATTTATGTATATATTTAAAATGGGAGGTAGATCAAAATCTGTTATATTATTAATGCATTTATCACCATGTTCAATTTTACATTTTTTAATTTCAAATTTGTCAAACCAATCTAGTTTTTTCCCTTTGTTGAAACTATGTAACACTCTTGTATTTAGATTTGAGTTGAAATTATATTTTGTTTCTTTTAGATGGTCCTTAAATTCCGAAAATTTGTTCGATTTAGGCAAGTGTTCTTTTACTCTTGTTTTTATTTCTCTACCGTTTTGTGCTATATATTTAATATCATAATCATTACAATTGAGTTGGTAAACCCCGCTTTTTGCCAAGTTGTCTACTTTGTCTTTAGGTTTTGAGAGGATGTTTTCAAGTGAACCCGTACTTCTAAAAGCTATTCTAAAACCTTCTTGTTTAAAAATTTTACTTTTTCCGATAATTCACCAATGTATGGCAATCAACAGAAACCTAATGATTCATTTGTGGTGGGCTGGCTGAGTCCTATTGTTGATTCGTTTAAAGTTAATTTTTTTATTCTTTTAACTAGCAACCTATCAATAAATATCTCTTCATACCCATTGTTTTTTGCTAAGGTTTTAATAGTTTTTAATTATTTTTTATAGTTATCAGGTGTTAGCGGAAGTTTTAACATCCGGTCTATGAGCCAAATGAAACCAGCAGCCTTTTGCGACCATGGGTGGGAAGAATCCGCTGGTGTCATAGTGTCTGTAGTTGTGGGTTTTCTATATACATCTATTTCTATTAGGCTGTTTATTATGGACAGTTTTAGGTCTAAAAAGTTCCAACAATCATCTTTGCTAATTTCCAATGTAAAATTTATATTACGGTGTAGAGAATTAATTAGTTGGAGGAATTCTTTGAGAGCCTCTAATGTTCCCGACCATATGCATAAAATATCGTCTACATAGCGTTTCCAGAAATGAACAGATTTAGTTAATTTTGTTCTTTGATTTGAAAAGATTTTTTTCGAAATTATCCATGAATATTTCAGCACAAAGTGGGATAATGGAGACCTCATTGGTAACCTTTTCATTTCGTAAAATTTATTATTGAATTTACAATCATTACATAGTAGGCACATATTTAAGAGGTCTATTATATCATTTTTTACAAATTTGTTAATAGAATTCGCGGTAAGTTTTTGCTTTATGAGTTTAGTACATTCTTCAACGGGGATATTTGTGAATAAATTAGTAACGTCAAATGATACTAAAACGCAGTTGTTGGGTACATTGATGTTATTTAAGAAATGTTGATACCGAATGTAGGTTTGAATTTGGTGTGGGTTTTAATTATTTTGTTACTGTAGAAGTCCTTCAAGCTGATGATGAGCTAAAAGGCTCGAAAGACGGATCGTTGCAAAACAACTTACTGTGAGTAGGAACTATTTTTTTAAAAAGGATTGAACACCATCATTTATCATTTCTACTGACAATGTACTTCCTGCAGTCCTCTAGTTTACACTTTTGTTCTTGTAAATTTCCTAAAGTTTATAATTTCGTTGTAGCATTTTGCCCTTCTAATCTATAGTTATTTTTTAATCTGAAAATGACACCAAATTATATAATACTTATATTTATGAAAGGGTATAACCGTGGCTCCATAAACTAATATATTATTTTATTGTAGATAGGGATAGGGATAAAAGAGGCGGCCACAAGACTTCACCTCGACCTGAATAGATCCATTGTCCTTCCATGTTATTTATAACTGCCTGGCCAGTTTCAGGTTATTAATCAGCCTCCACAGCTTTACCAGCGGCTTGTGGTTTTTCTTGTCCTAGTTGCAAGAACCTACACATACATAGACCTTCATAGAAACGTAAAATGTGTTCTGTGGTCTCCTTCTCTTCCTGGCAGTATCTGCACAATGTATCTTCTGTCTGTACCGACGCATGTGCTTTCTTAAGTAATTCTTTTGTAATTTTTGCGGATGGTCCTTCTATGAATCTCTTCGCGTGCCTCATACCTGTGATACCATTCCACCAGGATTCATTAAGGGTCTATTTTAAGATGTATCCTCTTTTGTGGGAGATGCTAGGCCGCAGTAGGGTTCTAGCCCATAGAGTTCATGTCAGCTCCCTTTTTGAACATGTCAAACTTTTCGTTGCCTATGTGCACCGAATGTCCACGGATTCGTGCCAGGGTCAGGTCATTAGTGTCGCCGACTTCCATCAGGGCCTCCATGCAGTTGCAAACACTCTTTGCCTTCGCCTCCCATGAGTGCTGCCTGGCTGTCAGAGAAAATGGCTGTCTTCCGGGAATGTATTCCTAGCCTTTTTATTTCTCTGGCGCATTGTTCAATTGCTATGATTTCAGACTGGAAAACTGAAGCATACTAACTTAGGTTTACCGTCAGTTCGGTCTTGGTGTTCATCCCTAAGGCTGCGGTTACTATGGATGCGAATTCTGACGAAATTTTGTTCTGAGGAGTACGTCCGAAATCCTCGCCAGAACAAGGTGGTTACATTGTGCGCGTTTTCTGATAGTACGTTTCCGCCTCCCAACAAAATGGACGAACTTAATGAGTTTTATTTTCTTGAAAGTCCGTTGATTAAGCAATGATGAATAAAAAATTATTAGGGCATAGCAGATACATAGTTTAGTGTTTAGGGAGTATCGAGTACTCCACTCCCACACTAAATTGTGTACACATAGGCATTAAAATATGTCAGTATAAATACGTTTATTTTATTGACCGAAAACCCCTATTGATTTCAATCTTGGTCTATGACTAAGGTATATTAATCAGTTTTCAGAGATTTGACCATATTCCGTGTTGCAGGACTGGACTTTTTCTTGGTAATGGTGAGAAAAAATTGTTGAATGGAGCCACTGTCAGACTCTAGCCTCTGTCTCCAAGATTTGGTGAGCAGCAGCAACGGCGGCGGAGGTGGAGGCGGCGACAGCGGGGGCGGCGGGCTCGATCAACCCCTTCTCCTTCATCATCACCATCACCATGACGGACTGCCGCCCCCGCCTCCGCCACTTCACCACGAGCCTTTGGAAAAGCTCAAACGAGGTAAGATTTACTGTTTTTTTTACAAATCAGGATGAATATTTGCTCTACCGATAAGCCGCTGTCGTTTTTCTACCTTGGGCTGAATTTACAATTAAACTAATAGGCAAAGATTTAAATTGAATAAAAATAAAGTAACAGCTAAAGTACTTTTAAAATATTTATGTCATGTCTAAATAAACTCAATAAAATCAATATACCATCCGGATCTTCTTACATCATGAAGTCAATTTTGTAAATAATAATTTAAAAAATATATATCTGTTTATATATATATAATAAATAATAACTACCACTTGGTAGCTATTTGTAATAAAAGTTGAACACCAGCTCTTTGTCGGTTTTCCTCTTAGTGCGTCGTACTTCCACAATCTCTTGGTTTTTCTATTCTTGTTTCTTCCTTTATTTCTATCTTTCGGATCACTTAGCGCAAACAATTGGAAGTAAACAACAGCAAATCTACACTCTCTCTGGATTTTTGAAACTATAAAATCGGACATTTCATGTGAAACAACCCAATACTAATTTCTTGTAAAGTTTTTGCGGTTTTTTTTTATAGTGTATCCAATTAGTGTCTCTGGGGTTTCTATTCGTTTTTACTATAAAATCGAACATTTCATGTGAAAAAACCCCATATTAATTCCTCGAAAATTTTGTTGGAGGGTTTTTTTACTCTATCCAGATTGTCTCTGGGGTTTCTATTCGTTTTTACTATAAAATCGGACATTTCATGTGAAAAAACCAAACATTAATTCCTTATAAAGTTTGTTGGAGGGTTTTTTACTCTATCCAGTTAGTGTCTTTGGGGTTTCTGTGCTTTTTACTACTGGAGAGGGATTAAAATGAAATCAGATATGCCTATGATTAGAATTTTTATGGTTCTAAAAATGGTACCATCAGCCCCTTGGGAATTAATGGTCAGGTCTAAGACTTTTTGATTGTATCTGATTATGAAGGTGGTCCTCGGTCTGTGTTAGCAATATTTAACCCTTTACCAGTTAGGTAATACGATAAGGGTTCACATCGATTGTTGATTTCCTCCTTTTCGGTCCTCGGACAAGATAGAAAACTTTAAAATTAATTACGATATGGAAAGTATATTTTTACAATTGGAAATGTTGGTGTTGTTTTAATAAAATGAAACTTTTAAGTAATGTCAAATTTGATGCTTAATTGTCAGTAATGATTGGGTAACCGTTATCCCGTTTTTCACATGGCCGAAGGCCGACGAAATCGTTTACAACCGGGAAAAAAGTTATGTTTGCAGTCATTTGCCGGATCGCAATTCCGTCGAGCGTGTTTTCCCAGTCGGAAGCGGTTTATTAATCACTCACCCGGATGACAGACGGTGCGGATGAAAAACAAATTGGGCCCCGGGCTGACTCTGATTACCGAGGGCGGCGCTGAACGCCGATGGTTTTCGCCCCCCGGATATCACGGGTGCGGGGGTGGAAGGATTAGCGGAAAATTTCTGTCTGCGCAAATAAACCGATGGCCGGAAAGATCTGGCACAACGGGAACCGACGGATTATACTTCAAAACCAATCAAAAAACGATGTATCTCGCGGTTAAACAAATTGTATAGATAAATATGTCTGTATTGTTTCTGCGCGCTGATAATTATTACCCCTTTTTTTCCAAAGATCTTTCGAATCTCAAAAGTCCTAATTAATTAAGAAAAAACAATACTTTTCATCATGAAATAAGGTGTGGTATTTCTATTTTCAGAACTTATACTTAATTGTGAAATTTCCACCTGAGGATGTGGTGATAAAACTGTAGCTTGGTTTTGTCCGATTATTTTGGCTTGTTTATTCTCCTTATTTTGTTCTGTCATACACGTTTCGGCTTCTCGACATCTTCAGTCTTATCAAAATCACCCAAAACTATCAAAATTTATAGACTTTTTATAAGGCTTTTTATAATTCATTTATGCTTAGTCGTCTAATTGATCATATTAATTATTCTTTTTATGTAAGGTCTTGGTTGAGATGGAAAAGTTAGTGTCACGAGCGGGTTTCGAACTCACGACCTTCAGCTCAATACGCTGCTCTAACCACTTTTTATAACGTACATAGTTCAGTTGACCGTGTTTCGGATTTCAGCCATCTTCAGTAGTGGGTTAAATAATTTGTTGAAGTGAAGAGCGGTCAAGATTGAGGTAGTTTAGAAAAACACATTTTTCATTTTTTTTGCTGATATTTTGACCTTTATTCGGGTCATCTTCAGAGCCTGGGTAAATTACAAAACATATGTTGATTGGAAAAAATACAATTTAAGATGTAAATATGAATTTTGAACCAAATATTTCATACTCACATAAAGTGTGATGCTATTCTGTGGTGTCATATTGGTTTTTCATTTGTTTACCGACGTTTCGACCTTTATTCGGGTCATCTTCAGGGCATGGGTAAATTACGAAACATATGTCGATTGGAAAAAATACAATTTAAGATGGAAATATAAATTTTGAACCAAATATATCATACATCTAATTCTTCAGTGGGTTAAATCTAATTAAACTACAAAAATAAACAATTTTTTATTGCAAAAAAAATTATGCTCAGATTTACGTTTTGAACATCTAGGGTGCTAACATAAACATAAAGTGTGATGCTATTCTTTGGTGTCATATTGGTTTTTCATTCGTTTACCGACGTTTCGACCATTATTCGGGTCATCTTCAGGGCATGGGTAAATTACGTAACATATGTCGATTGGAAAAAATACAATTTAAAATGTAAATATAAATTTATAATACCAAATGTTTTATACTCACATAAAGTGTGATGCTATTCGTGTGGTGTCATATTGGTTTTTAATTTTTTGCCGCGTTTCAACCTTTATTCGAGTCATCTTCAGAGCCTGGGTAAATTTCCAAACATAAGTTGATTGCAAAAAAGTACAATTTATGATGTAATTATAAATTTTGAACCAAATAATTCATACTCACATAAAGTGTGATGCTATTCGTGTGGCGTTTTATTGGTTTTTTATTTTTTACCAACGTTTCGACCTTTGTTCGGGTCATCTTCAGGGCCTCGGTAAATTACAAAACATACGATGATTGGAAAAAATACAATTTAGGATTTAAATGTAAATTTTGAACCAAATATTTCATACTCACATAAAGTGTGATGCTATTCTGTGGTGTCATATTGGTTTTTTATTTTTTTTACCGACGTTTCGACCTTTATTCGAGTCTTCTTCAGAGCCTGGGTAAATTTCCAAATATATGTCGATTGGAAAAAACACAATTTAAGATGTAAATATAAATTTATAGTAGTAGTAAAATAAAAATACTCACATAAAGTGTGGTGCTATTCTTGTGGTGTCATATTAGTTTTTCATTTTTTTTTATGCGCCTGGGTAAATTAGAAAACATATTGATTGGAAAAAATACAATTTAAGATGTAAATATAAATTTTGACCCAAATATTTCATATATCAAATATACAAAATACAAAATAATCAATTTTTTTGCATAAAAATTTATGCTGAGATTTCCCTTTTAAATATCTAGGGTGCTGAAAGTGTAGTTTGATCATTTCTCGTTCTGGTCCGCTTATCTTCGCTGTTTTGATTTTTAATGTCCTTTCTAATTAACGATTAAGATGTAGCGACTTCTTTTATATTTTCCTGACTGCCGATTGTGATATAATTAATTTGTAAATGTATAACCCAATCTGTTGCAATGCTTTTCATGTTTTTTCCTTTTTAAAAAGATAGTTCCTACTCACATTAAGTTGTTTTGCAACGATCCGGATTTCGAGCCTTTCAGCTCATCATCAGGTTGAAGGACTTCTACGACCACGTCTCTCGACATGAATTGCCAAAGTGAACCCGCTGATACCTCCGCCAACGCGACGTTCCAATTAGCAGCTGATTTTTTAATGGCGCTCAATTTGAACGTGCGAAACGCGGAAATTATAACACAAATAAATATTATACTAGTAAATACTTAATATTATTAAATTACTATAAAAATAATAATTAAAATAATTAGTTTAATTATTTAGATGTTTGATATTATTTATGTACATATTTAAAATGGGAGATAGTTACCTCGTTCAAATTGAGCGCCATTAAAAATATCAGCTGCTAATTGGAACGTCGCGTTGGCGGAGGTATCAGAGGGTTCACTTTGGCAATTCATGTCGAGAGACGTGGTTGTAGAAGTCCTTCAAGCTGATGATGAGCTAAAATGCTCGAAATCTTGATCGTTGCAAAACAACTTACTGCGAGTAGGAACTATCTTTTTTAAAAAGGATTGAACACCACACTCACTCCATCATTTATCATTTCTATTTCGTGTTTTTAGCTCTGTACCCTTGGAACTGGGATGTCCTTACCCTATATGATACACATGGATATCTGTGATTACCCAAAGCCCTACCAAAGGTTTTCTCTTCGCCAATTCAAACTATAAAACATAACAAATTTAGTCCCTGATAGATCTTATCAAGGACCAGACAGAATATGTCTGAAAAGGTTGCTGGAAGTGTTAAACTGGAAAAAGGTCGTATGGAAGCTGATGGTCAACGTTTCTAGTTATGAGAAGTAATGTAATTTGGAACATTTATGTTTTCATGTAAATATTTAGATTTGTTTATTGAGGATCAGTACTGCGTCCATTCGTCTATATGATTGTCTCTATCTTCAGCCTTTTGTGAGATTTCCTCTTAAGATTTGAGGGTTGGTGAACCTGTACTTTGACCGTTAAGATATGAAATAATTTTAAGTTTTTTTCTAGTTTTGCTGCTTTTTTGACGAGGTCTTAAGCTTATCGTATTGATTTTTTAATTATTCTTTTTTATGCAAGTTCATATCTTCCAGAATATGCATGTGTAAGAAAGATTATGTAATGATTCGAAGAGTAAATTTAATAAGTAATGAGTGCTTTAAATAAGCTCTTCGGTCCTATCCTGATATTTTTATGATATTGCTTATTGATAAAACAACAGCAACATTCATGGAGAAAGTGCCCCAGTGTCTGCTGTAAT